CAGGATCAACCCTTTCAGAGAGCAGTTTGGCAATGAGTACCAGGTACTTAATGTTCCTTTCCTTTAGCTCAGTAATTCAGCTGCTGGGAGTCAATTGAAAGGCCTAAGGATAGGAAGAGCACTGTGGACAAAGATGCCCTTTGCAGTACTCATCGGAAGAGTGAAAGATTAGAGATGATCCGAATGCTGACGATAAAGAAATTATTTTAAAAATCGGGACAATCATATAATACTCATATAACAGCCAATAGCAGTGACTCTTGCGAGGGCTTTTGCATGATGGGGGAAAATGCTTACATTAAAATGTAAGGCGGGGAAAAAAGGGGATGTGAAATTATTTATGCGGAATAACAACAGCTATCTAAAAAAAGCGCATGAGAAAGACCAGAAGCAAATGAGCCAGAAGGGAATCGCAGTGGCTTTGTGGGATAGACACGAGGGAGATTTTGATTCTTCGCTCCTGCTTTCTGTATTTTGTCTAATAAGTACTTATGACTTTTATTTTTCTTCAAAAACTGGAAAATATTTAAACTTTTTCTGATTATACATCCTACTTTTTATCATACAAAGAATTAACACATTCTTTTGGTAAAAAAAATTAAAACAATATAGATGTGCATGAAGGTAAAAAAGTGAAAGAACTTCTGTAATTCTACTTCCCAGAGATAACTAGTGGTAGTAGTTAATACCTTCTTAGCTATACACGTATGCACACACTTATACATATACTCTAATACACCTATACATACACACATACGCACACACTTATACACACAACATACTCATATACACACATATACAGCAACATATACACACAAATGTACATATAGAAACACACACATATATATGTATGCTTTTACTTTTAAGCAAAAAAATGGGACCATATCCAAATACTGTTATGGAACTTGCTTTTTTTTTCACCTAACAATTTATTTATTTCTCTATATCAGTGCACACAGATCAGGCTCGCCTTTTTTTTTTTTTTTTTTTAAATTAGGCTACCATTTAATAATGAGCTTTACGAAGGTGTAGCAACAGAAAAGTTTCAAATATAAAATTACATCAGCTCCAATGATAGATTGTGGGAAAACAACTGGGTGTCTGATCCTGGGTTATTCACAATAACCTTTTCTTTTTCACCTCACATTTGAGAGGATGGAAAGGCTTACAACTTCATTTCCCCACCTTTCTTGGAGCTAGAGTTGATCATGTTATAAACCTGTGGCTAATGGATGAACATAAGCCTGTTGTGGCTTTCGGGGAAAGATTTTGTTTTATGAGAAAAAGGTCTAATGCAGAAGGCTCTGCCTCCTTTACCCCTTTTCCTGTCTTGAATATAGACACAACACCTTGAACTGCAGCAGCTGTCTTGTTACCATGAGGGAAAGGCCAAAAGAATCTCAGAGAACTCGGTATCACTGAGTCACTGAACTAATGCCAGTGTCAAGCTCCTCTAGGCTTCTTGTTATGTGAGAAAAATAAATTCTTATTTGAATAACCATTGCTATTTGGATCCTGTTACTTAAAGCAGGTAACTTTCTTACCTGATACAAAAATAAATGATAAGAAATAGGAACAAAAGATTCAACAACTAGAAAAATCAGAACAGTTGATCTGTAATGGTACTAACATAAAAAATGATTTGTTAAGAAAAATTTTGCCCCCAGACATCCTTTCAGCTCAGTAATGAAGTCACTCGGAAGGTTCACCCTTCAGCCAAAGACTAGCAGGCCCACAAAACAAAAGGACACTAATAGGGTACACCAGCCCAGGGGCAAGGACCAGAAGTCAGGAGGGGACAGGAAAGCTGGTAATAGGGAACCCAAGGTTGAGAAGGGAGAGTGCTGACACGTCGTGGGGTTGTCAATTAATGTCATAAAACAATATGCGTACTAAACGTTTAATGAGAAGCCAGTCTGTTCCACAAACCTTCATCCAAAGGTTTTTTTATATATTTAAAATATATATATATATATAACATCAGAAAAAAGAAGAAAAAATTTTGTTTGTGCAATAATGAATTTAAAAACAAAAATATTATGTTTAAAGGAAAAAAGTTGAACTAATTTTGATTTTAGACTATGAACACGTTTGTCATTTAATCTAGATCATTTTCATTCTAAGGACATTTATCAATTAATTATCTTTTGTTTTGTCAAGAGTCAAGAAAATTTTAAGTAACCCAAACACATTTTCAATAAAATTTTATATGTACGCATATAAATAATGAAAGCACCAAGGACCTACTGTAAAATTTCATGATACAGTTTCTATACAAGCTGCTTCAGCAATAAATAGCACTCAGTTGATTTCAAAAGCATGTGACCGCAAAGAAGTGTTCAAACTGGTAATCACAAACTGGGTGAGATTTTCCATAGATGTTTCACACATTCAAAACAGTAAAAACCATTTTCTAGATATCAGCTGGAGCTGCAGAGGTAAATGTCCCTTTGCGGAGTGCTGAAGAGGTGATGCAGTCTGCTCTGGAATTGGCATTGCACTTCCTCAGACTTAGGCTGCCTTTCCCACAAATACCTTCTATCTCTGAGAGATCAGCTACATCAAGATAGCTCGTCTGCTAAATCATGTTTGGTCAAAATACTTGCCAACAAAGCAGACTCATAAATTCAAAGCAGGAACTCTCTCTTCATCTCGGTTGTCCACTAAGAGCCTCAATTCACAGCACCTTCCTGCAAGTAGCCAAATCAGTGAATGAGCCTCAAGTAATAAGGGTTTTTCAAGACAAGCCAACAAAGCATAAAGCATCTTCCTGATTCTGGAGTAAAGTCTCTTTCTCCAAACCAGTTACGCTGGTATTCCAAGACACTAGTTACTGTTGCCTAATTCATTCCGCTAACAATACTAAGCAAGGGAGGAAAGCTAATCTGTACAAAATTCCTGGACTTCCATTTGTAGCTGGTCCAACAGTCCCTTCAGAATATAACCTTTTACCCAGACAAAATTTTTTCCAGTGGTCTTCATCTTCAGATTTTGGCATGGTCACATTGCTATCCAACTGTTGTGACTTCCAGTGACTTCTATGCTTGTTCGCACTCTGTCGAACAGCTGACAACTGTGCTACTTGTTGCTGTTGCCATTCAGGTGTTGGAGAATATCCTTCAGGAGCAGGCTGACGTCCTGAAAGAGAAACATTCACCGTTTGCCTCCTTTTCAACTTCTTTGGGTCAATTTGAGCTACCACAACATCTGGACATTGGGCTGCTTCGAGCTGGCATCCTCAGGGGTACTGAGGGATCAAAACATTCTGTCAAGTCGCAGGGTTCCACCGGCAAGAGACGCGGCATCAGCTCTTCCACTATAGACTCCACTGGCACCCACGCCATAGCTTCTAGTCCAGCCGGCGCCACCCAGCGCTTGCGCCTAGTCTAGGGCACAACGCAGGCGCACTCGGCGTTTTTGGCACTGAGCAGACAGCCTCGTCTCTTTTGATGGCTGTTCCATGTTTTACTATGATATGCAGAATAGTTAGTATTTGTAACAAATTCCCTTACCGCAGGATCTTTATATTGTTTCCAATTGTTTTTATTATGACAACCACGCCTGCAATGAACATGTACATGGATCTTGAAAAGTGTTTTTCCTAGAGGTAGAATCGCTGGGGCAAGCAGAACGCGCTTTTCAATGCTTTGATCTATATTACCAAATTCCCTCTAGAAGATTGTACAGGGACAAATTTAAAGGGAGTACTCATTTCTCCACATTTTTGCAGCCTAAAACAGTTCACCCTGGTCAAAGACAAACGTGGGAAAATGTTTCATTGTTGGTTTAATTCACATTTCTTTTAACTTGATGAGACTGATCTTTAATGTCACTTGCTTACAACTCTTTCGGATTTCTTCTTTTGTAACGCCTATTCATGTCTATCTTTTGATTCTTATTTATTAGAGCTGGATTGCCTTAATAATTAAAATAATAATTTAAATATATATGTATATCTATATATCTTATATATGTATGGAGCCCTCGTGGAGCAGTGGTTAAGCTCTCAGCTGCTGGAAAGTCCGCAGTTGGAACCCAGCAGCCGCTCTGTGGGAGAAAGATGCGGCAGCCTGCAGCCTGCTCCTGTAAAGATTACCAGACTGAGAAACCCTGTGGAGCAGTTCTACTCTGTCCTACAGGGTCCCCAGGAGTCCAAATCGACTGGACCGCAGTGGGTGGGTTGGGTCCCTCTCTAGCAGGAAAAGACAATTGTACATTACTGTAGAGCGGCTTCTGGTGGACACCAAATCAATGCTTTTGCAGCTTGGGTCAGGTTTTTTAGGTTAATATTTGGTTTTGTGGATAAGAAAAACCTTAAAATCAAAGCAAGATGTCTGTTATTAATTTTCCTCTTCAACAGAGATACTGTATGGCTTAACTAATCACAAGGTGCAGCTACCCAGGCCAAGAAAAGAACTTCGCCAGCCACCCCAGCGGCTCCTCCACGTGCCCGTCTCTATGACTGACCGTTATCCTGACTTGTGTAGGACACATTGATTGCATTTTTAACGGTAAGTCAGCTGGGGGAGGGGGGTAGGGAGGAGAGGCGGTGCTCAGGGAAGCTTCTTCGCCTTCAGGGCCCAGTTGTCTTCGCTGACCCCCACCCCCAACTCCGCCCTGTCGTAAGACCTGCCACCGCCTCGCGACCCCTGCACCCCTGCAGCGGGGTTTGCAGCCCTCATCCGATTTCAAAATGCCATTTAACGCAACTGTAGCGGACCGAGCCGTAGGTTTCCCAAGAAGTAGAAGCGAAAGAGGATCGGAAACTGCGAGCTGAGTGATTTCAGGGTCGAGCATGCGGAAGGGGGGGCCCCAGCCCTGCTGCCGGGCCTCCCGCCTCGCCCGCAGGCCCCGCGGGTTCTCCGCAGCCCCGGAGGAGGCCGGCCTGTGCAGAGGAAGCGGGAAGAGCTCCCGGTGCGGGCCTGAGCTCGGAGCAGAATGCACAGCGGGCGACTGATGGTGTCGGATCGTGGATATCCCCTGTGCATCCGTATGTGGGTGTAACCGTGGCCTGAAGGATGCGCGGGAAATCGTGAGAGTGGGTGCCTAAGGGATGCAGTCAGTTGGAGGACTTAGTTCACTTCACGCCATTCCATAGTGTTTAATGATGGATTTTAAAAATGGAAAAAACAGAAAACCCACACACAACTTCCGTCCGTGTTTTGGAGCGATCCCCTGCAAGAAGCCTCCACTCTCTCCTGCTCATCACGAGTTCTTTCTCCTCGGAGCTTCTGTCTGAGCCGGCATCATCCACAGTGCGACTTGGTGCCTGTGAAATCTTGGCAAGGTTCCTCTTTCTCCTGTGACTCAGCCTTCTCTTCTATAAAACAGGGATGCACATGAATAGCTGAGCGTTCACGTCACCTTCCACATGAGAGAGAGGGAACCAGGAGACCTGAATTCTAGACCCCTTCTCCCCTTCTCTGCGCCACATGGGTCCTGCCACCAACCTGCCAATCCTTGGGCAAGCCTGTGCCTTTATTGAGTCTCCTTTTCCTTAGCTCTGGAGTCTCTGGGTGGTGCAAAATGTTCACGTGCTCTACTAACCTAAAGGTTCGAGGTTCGAGTCCACCCAGAGGCACCTCAAAAGAAAGGCCTGGCAATCCATTTCTGAAAAAGAGCCATTGAAAACCCTATGGAGCGCAGTTCTACTTGACACACATGGGGTCGCCATGAGTTAGGTGACTCCGTGGCAACTGGTTTCCTCAGCTCTACCGTGAAGCGATTGGAGAACTTCAAGAATATTTTTAAAACTCATTATCATGAAAATAACATAAATATTATAAATGTTAATAATGAGGCCTGCCCAGGTGGCTCTGACCCATTAGAAGTGATTTAGGAAATAGTATTGGAGTTATTATTCCCTCTCCTTGAGCATAGCGAATGTGACCCAGCTGGAGCTGGGCTCACAAGGACTCACAAGGACACATCAACTGGGCCCTGAGGTATAAAGACAATAGCTAAGATAATCTTGGAAAATATCTTTTAGGGGAACATTCATGTCCTCTTCCCACTTCTGCCCTTTTGAATATGTGCTGAATAAAACTTTCTTTTCCCTTTGCTAAACTTTATGATGTTTTTTCCCCTACAACAGAAGGAAGCAGCTTTTTTCTCAAGCCCTACCTTCCCCTCTGCCTCCCCCACCCCCTCCCTTCCCTCTCTGTCACTCTCATCCTACCCCTAACAACCCCCACCCCTCTCCTAACAACCCCCACGCCACTCCTAATAACCCGTGCCACAACAATAACCGCCACCCCTCCCCCCAAACCTCCTATTGGAAAACCTCTAGGAGGATGGTCCAGCTGCAGCTGGGCTTGTCACCCCCACCTGCCCGCCCCCGGGGGCTTTCCAAACTAATGAGGAAGTCAGGCCTTAAGCTGGAGCTTCCGGATCGGTAGCCATCCAGTCTGTCTCCTGAAGGATTTATTGGGCCAGCACAGTCTTGAAAGTGTTTTGTTTTATTTTAATTAGTTATGGACATTTAAGATCAAGAGATTACCCGAAGAATTTGGGCCATTTCCTTCAGGGCTGCAAGTCACTCAGCTGAGCCATCTCCGTCCACACGCAGCCTCCAGGGGAGCCCCTATGGGCTTTTGAAACTGAGATTTCTGCTTTAAAGAAATGTATAGTTAATAGTGGAACTTGGGGCATTGGTAAGCAAGGCAGAGGAAGTATTTTGGAGTCAGGAACCCTGAGATTTTACAGGACAAGAAATTCTAAAGGGTGAAGGCTGGCCCTGCCCTAGGAAATGTAACTTTGGACTTGGGCCTCAGTTTCCCCATCTGCACAATGGGTCAAACAGTTGGTCCCAACATTTTAGACATTTTAGTGAAGATTGCATGAACTTTGCCTGTGATCGTTTCTTGCTTTTGTTCTTCCCCACTCAGAGGATCCATTGCTCAGGCTGATGGTCTAGGCCCCATCATCTCAGAGTCTTCGGGGATCAGTCCAGCCTCGAATCCTGCCTGCCTCCCTTTCTACCCTTCCCTCCCCCCATGCAGCACCTGACACCGTCCTCCTCTGCAACCAGTCCTCTCCCCTCCCCCCATCGCAGCTCTTCCTCTGCCCCTGCAGCCCCTGCCTGGGCAACTCCACATCTCCCACTTCCTGGGCAACCCCACATCCTTCAGGTACTCACAGATGGGAGACTTTCCCTCTGTGGGAAAGCTTTTCAGACTGCAGCTCTTTCTTCACACTGGCCAGGAGCCAAGCATGGGAGTGCTGGCCACATCCCTCTCTGGGAGAAGTGACCGTGTTCCTCCCTCTGAGCTCCCATGGCCCTGCACCCTGTGTGGCCTTGTTCTTGGGGCTCAGCCAACCTGGCTACTTCTCAGGGCTCGTCTGCCCCTGCTGCCCTCCCCAGAGAGGCCTCCTTCAGTTTCACTGGGATTACCCTCACCTTCTAGGCTTCTCCTCTTCCGCTGATTTGCCTTATCTGCCATAAATTATGTCCCCCCAAAATATTTGTCAACTTGGCTAGGCCATGATTCCCAGTATTGTGTGGTTGTCCTCCATTTTGTGATCTAATTTTCCTACGTGTTGCAAATCCCTGGTGGCACAGTGGTTAACAGCTACGGCGAGCTACAGTGAGCTAGGGCTGCTAACCAAAAGGTCTGCAGTTTGAGTCCACCAGCTGCTCCCTGGAAACTGTGTGGAGCAGTTCTACCCTGTCCTGTAGGGTAGCTATGAGTCAGAATTGACCCGAGTGCAGCGGGTGCAGCGGGTTTTTTCTTTTCTTTCTTTTCTTTTTTTTTTTTTTGATGATGTTAATGAGGCAGGATTAGAGGCAGTTATGTTAATGAGACAAGACAATCTACAGGATTAGGTTGTATTTTGAGTCAATCTCTGTTAGATATAAACGAGAGAATTGAGTAGAGAGGAAAGGGACCTCATTACCACCAAGCAAGAAGAACCAGGAACGGAAGGCATCCTTTTGGACCTGGGGTCCCTGTGCTGAGAAGCTCCTAGACCCAGGGGAAGACTGATGACAAGGACCTTCCCCCAGAGCCAACAGAGAGAGAAAGCCTTCCGCTGGAGCTGGCACCCTGAATTCAGACTTCTAGCCTCCTAAACTGTGAGAGAATGAATTTCTGTTTGCTCAAACCATCCACTTGTGGTATTTCCGTTATAGCAACACCAGATAACTAAGACACACCATTTCACAAATACTGTGAATCACAGCCCTGTATTGGGCCTGTGGGGATTCAAGAGTCAACTTGAGCCGTCCTGCCCTCTGTAAGCTCACAGCTCTATTGGGTAGAGAGACCCAGAAACAGGGAGAGAGGGTGAGTGCAGGGCCTGCTAAGACAGCCAAGTCAGATGTAGGGTATCAGGGAGGGCTTCCTGGAGGAGGTAGTATCTAAGGTGAGACCTGGAGGGTAAGTTAGCCAGGCAAACATGCAAGTAGGGAAGAGGGTTCCAGGAGGAGAACAGCATGTGAAGGCCCTGAGGAAAGAGAGAACATGGTGCATTCAGGCCACACAAAGAAGTTAGAGATGAGGCCTGATCCCTGAGGCAGGGAGCAGGTTTAGGAGCTTGGAAATACTGGCCCCCGAGTCAGCCTCTGACTCATGGCAACCCATGCAAAATACCATTGGACTGCTGTGATCCGTGGAGTTTTCATTGACTGACTCTGTTTATAGGAAATGCCCAGAGTAGGCAAATCTATAAAGACAGAACTTATATTAGTGGTTGCCCAGGAATGGGAGGAGAGGGAGAATGGGAGTGACTCCTAATGGGTAGACGGTTTCTTTTGGGGATGATGAAAACGTTCGAAAATTAAATTGTGATACTTGCACAATTCTGTGAATATACTAAAAACTATTAAATGGTACGCTTTAAATAGGTGAAGTGTATGATATATGAATTATATTTCAATAAAGATATTTTTTAAATAGTCTACTAAAAAAGGAGGGTTGCGGCGCGGGGTGGGGGGGGGGGACGCATTGGGCGAGATAGTGTAGAGAACCCTGCCCTCTGGTGGCCAGTTTCAACATAGCATCAAAGAAGTTAGGAGACTGGCACTTGTTATTCTAAAATTGACCACAAGAGGGCAGAAGAACACAACATTTGCTGCACTGACCTTTGGGGGACCCGGTGCTCCGAATCTCCAGTTTGGTCCCCTGAAGACTCACACTCAGCCAGGTGCCCAGGGATTGGAATAGGGGAGGAGAAAGGGTCAGCACTGAGCATGAGTCACCTTATAGAGCTGCTCACAGTAATGATGCCTGAAGTGCCCCCATTAGCAAGCTAAGCTGTGTCTTCTCTGGCTTTAATGGAACCCCATAGCAACCCTAGGGTAGCGCGTGTATTACTGACCCCTAAACCCAGAGGGGCTGAGAAGGATGCAGAGTTAGGCAGCTTGTTGTTAGGTGCTTTCGAATCCGTTCTGACTCATAGAGACCCTATGTACAGCAGAAGGAAACACTGTCTGGTCCTGTGCCATCCTCAAAGTTGGTGCTATGCTTGAGCCCATTGTTGCAGCCACTGTATCAGTCCACCTTGTTGAGATCTTCCTCTTTCACTGACCCCCCCACTTTACCAAGCATGATGCCCTTCTCCAAGGGCTGGTCCCTCCTGATAACATGTCCAAAGTACTTGAGATGAAGTCTTGCCATCCTTGTTTCTAAGGAGCATTCTGGCTGTACTTCCCCCAAGATAGATTTGTTTGTTGTCCTGGCAGACCACGGTATATTTAATATTCTTTGCCAGCACCACAATTCAAAGGCATCAATTTTTCTTCTGTCTTCCTTATTCATTGTCCAGCTTTTGCATGCATGTGAGGGGATTGAAAATACCATGGCTTGGGTCAGGCGCACCTTAGTCTAGTGACCTAGAAATTTATTGGATGCCAACTCAGGCCATCTTTGTGCTTGACTGTGGAAAATTTGATATATGTATAAAACTTTTAGTCCCTAGTAAGTGCTTAATGGAGTCCCTAGTGGTGCAGACAGTTAGTGTGCTCAGCTTCTAACCAAAAGGTTAGAGGTTCAGTCCACCCAGAGGCACCTTAGAAGAAAGGCCTGGTGATTTACTTCCAAAAAATCAACCATTGAAAAACATAATTATACTCTGACACATGGGGCCACCATGAGTCACAGTCAACTCGAGGTGACTGGTTTGTCTGTGTTTTTGGTAACTGCATCAACAGGACCTCAGTGAATCAAGAGCCCTGAGCCTGGGGCGGGTCAGCCGACAGTGAGGTGTGAAGAATCCTACAGCCCTTCCCATTCCACACTCTGCCCAGAGAGTTGTCCTGTGTTGATCGTCTGCAGTGACGGGTAACTCAGCACTTACACGCAGCCTGTTCTGTCACCAGGCTGTTCTGATGTTACTAAGAGTTCCCTTGCATTGAGCTGAAATCTGCACCTTCTCGATTTTGATATCACTTCTGTGCTCTGGGCAGCCTTCACTCGCTTTCCAACAACAATCCTTATCTAAGTCAGGCACCAAGTCTCCCCTCCACATTAAACACCTCTTATTCTTGCTTGTCACTCCTTGTCTGACCTGTCAGGTCAACTCGTCCCCCTGGTCACTCTTTCCTGGATGCGCTCCTGTTTGTTAATGGCTCTCTCCAGGGGTAGTGTCCAGAACTGAGCCCAACTTTCCTGGTGTGGCCTGAAGTGGGGGTTGGAGAGTATCTGCTACCTCCTTTGTTCTGTACACTACGCTCCTGTTAATGTAGCCAGAAAACCCATCTGCTGATTTGATCAGAGTTGATACCAGCTCAACTCCTTAAATCTTGTATTTTCATTTTCTCCGTTAAGCCACGTCACCCCTGTCCTGTAGTTCTGGGTTGATTTTGTGGAGATGTTGGACCTACCACGTTCGTTTTGTTAGGTCTGGGCTAGCTTTCTGGTGAGGACGCAGACAGCCTGGTTATAAATTGGTCTGATATTTAACTGTGTAAACTTTGGCAAATCATTGACCCTTTCTGGGGCAGCCAAGCCAGGTGGACCTAGGTTAGAGTCTGCTGTGCCTCTCACTTGCTATGTGACTTTGGACAAGTAACTTCACCATCTGGAGCCTCAGTTTCCCTATCTGTAAATTAGATGACAGTGGTCACCCATTCTTGTCAGGACTGAGTGAAATAGTGATGGGAAGTCCATACCCAATGCCGGAGGGAACTGGGCTCTAGTTCTCCTGGGCTGAGTGGTTTTGAGTGTCCTTGGGCAAGTAGCGTCACCTCTCTGCGATGGATGATGGATAAAGACCACCCATTCATTCAACCAACACTTTTTGGGAGCCCATTGTTACTGGCCCTGAGCACTGGGCAGATGCCAAGAGCGGGGTGGGGTCCCTGTCTCCCACGGTTTCCAGTCACCGATGAGTGTGGACTCAGACTCGTGAACACAGTTACTCCATGGCAGTGTGCAGAGTGGCCCAGCCACTGGGGCCTGAGGGACGTAGGAGGGCTCAGAAACCAAATCCTGAGAACTCAGTCCCAGACCCTATGCCCTGTTCTCTCTCAGGCCGTGATCCGCTGTTGTTGCTGAGTCTGGGAGGTGGGCTTGGTGAGGCTGGCCTGAGGAGGAGGGGACAGTGGCACAGATGCCCTCCATCCCTGGCCGTGCCTGGCTTTGGGGAAAATCCCCCAACAGACTTGAGCTTTATTTGTCATTTGCTTCTTTTTCTTAAATGTGACAGCAGGGGACAAAAACGTGCTGCTGGCTGTGATTTGGCCCCTCCTCCTCCCTACACCTGCCCTGCCCCATGTCCCATGCCCAGACAGTTCCTTACGTTTTTCCAGAGCAGTAACCCTGTGAGCTAGTTTGGGCCAGGCAGGGTGAAAAGGAATAGCATGAGTTCCACATTCATTGTTGGAAACAAGGAAAGAGATGGCACCCCTAGTTCAGCTTCTCAGAGAAAACCATTGAGAATATTTTGGAAAATATCTTTCTAGTCTTTTTCTCCTTCCTGTATGTATCATTTTCTAAACTGATGACTATTTTTACACAGTTGGGATTATATAGTGTATACCATTCAATAACATTGCCTTTGCAATCCATGTGATTCCCATTTAAAGACAGGGAAACTGAGGCTGAGAGGGGTTGGGGGTTGTCAGGAAGAGTCGGAGGCAGAGTGGGATGTGGAACACTGCCCCTGTCCAGGACCATTGGTCCTGAGGACCACATGGTCACCCTCTGAGGAGGCCTTGCAGCAGTTCAGGGTCCCTCTGGAGCTGGGAGAGCAGAGCTGGACTGCCACTGGACAGCTCCTGCTGCGGTCCCCAGAGTGTCCCA